AAACACACATTACTTCATTTAGACTTTCCAACAACTTTGATGAGGAGGTGACAGCAGACCCCTTTACAGATGGGAAGCGGAGATTTACAGAGATTACATAACTTGCCCAAGGTCCCCAGGCTAAGAGGCAGAACTCACTTTTGTTCCCAAATGTAATTTTTTCTTTCATTTTGTCCTGGATGACTCTCTAGCCAAAGATGGCGAATGGATTCCTCTCAGCAGCAGGTTCTGGTAGACTGCCTGAGGCTCCTAGGAAGAGACTGACAACGTGTGTAAGAGGCTCATGGCAACACAGATGCTCAGCTGTGCTGGGAGGGGGTAGAGGTTAATACTTATGCCCCTCTGCTGAGCAATATTCAATGGCCACAGACTTTCTCTCTACTGGATGCTCATTATCTAGACATTCTCCACTTTTGATAGATGACAAAAGTTTAGGTAGATATAAGTCACACTCTCACACATGAAGGTTACCAATTAGTATGAACCCCCAAAATAGTATTTTTACAAATGAGAGTCACTGTCTTCCTCCTGCATCCCCTCCCCCTCAGTTATTTGGCAGTTAGTTCTCTCAAATTACTTATTCTTACGTGAAATTGGTCTCCCAACAGTCTCATCAACTCCACAAGCCCATCTCCAGTCTGCCTACTTATGACTCAAAAGCTTTTATCTTCTAAGTGATCATCTATATTTTTAAAAAGAGAAAATCAGGGGCCTTGCTTATCAAGTATAATATAATATATGGCTTCTGGGAAAACTACAAGAGCGCAGCATGCACAGGCTCAGAATTGATTTAGGCTTCAGGTAGCATGTAAGTTTTAACAGGAAGACAAGAATAAAGACACAGTTTTGCAAGTGTAGGTGTGACTTTTCCAAGGCAGCACCAACTGCAACCTGCCAAAAGCAAAATACCTAAAACTGAGAACCAAAAGGGCCCTCCACCAAAACATAACAGAGAATTATTAATCAGAAGAATGTGTCAACACACATTTCCTCTGCCTTTGAGGTATAATGCTAAAACGTATCTATCCAACCAAAGTTCGATATAAACACATACCTGGACTTCATATATTTCTCTAAACACAGCTGTTGACAAAAGTGCTTTTAAGCTTATTCATACACATGCAGCTAAGAACTGAACTAAATGAAGTTTGGCTCAAATTATAACTCTAAAGTGATAATAAGAACTAATATTTATACAGCATGTTTACATATCTTAACTGACTGTAAATGGGAAATGTGCAGCCTGGACTAAAGAGGGCAGTCTCTCCAGGTCACGGGAGGAGGCTGGGGATTGCAATCCCTTTCAATACAAGTGATAAGCCTCGGCCATAAATAACATTTACACAGCTCTAATTATATGAACAAGGGATACTGACTTATCCAAAAATTGTAGTCTTAACTATCCAGGTGAAAAGAAGTGTGGAGGGTAAGGGAGCTAAATCTTCATCTTCCACACAAAGAAGTCAACAGATACTTCTGCAAGCCAAGAACTGTCAGTTATGTAGCAATATCAGGGTTGATACCCAAAAATAAGAATTACAAAGTGAAAAGGTGGCCACTGGGGCACAGGGACTATTACTAAATTGCATTACAAGTTTTATACATTGTTTGAGTTCTTAAAGTACATCAATGCATGACTTGATGAAAAACGGTAAATTAGTTTTATTTGAATTACTAACACAAAGAAATAAAAATTAAAAACATGTCTAAATGTCTTGGGCTAGGAATAGAAGACAAAAGAAAAAATAGTGGAGGTCCTCTTTCCTTAAACAAAATTACCTCCTGGGTGGGGTGCCTATGGATTGCTAAGCAAAGGGGTGATGTGCCAACCCCAGGAAGCCAGTCTGGACAGCCGGGCAACATGGGGGACAGAGGCTGCAGAAAAACCACATGCCTTCCCATCCAACACCCCAAGTGACTACATGGATAACAGAATCGGGGAACATCACCAAAAGACCTGCCATCCCCCCAAAACCAGGAGATTTAGTCATTACCATCTATGATACTGAGGCCTAATCAGAATTCAAATCAAGCACTGTAGGAATTCAGAGGGGGGTTACAGTCTACTCATGCTTAGAGGGAAGGGAAGGAAAAGCACCATAAACAACGGGGTCCTGGGTGGGCTCTAAGAATACACATGAGGTAGAGATGGAGGAGAAACAGCCTGATAAAGGCCAGAAGTGAGAGTATAGATGGTGAGTCTGGAAATGGAACGTGGTTTAAGCCACATCAAATGGCATACCTCGTGCTGCTGTGGCTCCACCTGAGCTTGGAGACTATCAGCAGGGCTGGGAGTCAGTTTAGAGGTTTCTGGCACAATGCAAAACTAGACAATATCAACTTCAACACAGTAAAAAAAGCTGTGCCTCTAAAATTATTTCATTTATAGAAGTACATCTTTGATGTTTAAACTGATTTATCTTGCTTTGGACAGACTCCTAAATCCCAGACACTGATACTTATCTCATTATTCAGGGCTCCTCTCATATCCTCAGGTTTCCACACATCCTTAGGTTTGTGCCAGTGGATTCTGTCAATACTTTCTCTTTATTATCCCCCAGAGTGTTGAATGCCTAAGACTTAGAGATTGTGTTTCAGGTACCCCCTCCCCACCGCTCTCCAGTCAGCCTACAAAATGGAATGCCCCTATAAACGTACAAGTTCCATTAAATTTTTTCCCTTTGACATTCTTGTATAATACTTTCAACTTTCAACATTGTCTTCATTATTTAATGTGATGAAATTGAATCAAGTTTGATTTGCCCATAACGAAGAACAGATTTTTAAAATTTTTTAATTTATTTATTGATTTTACAGAGAGAAAGGAAGAAGGGGGAGGGAAGGAAGAGGAGAAGGAGAGAGAGAACCATCAATTTGTTGTTCCAGTTTTTTATGTACTCATTGATTCTTATATGAGCCTTGACCAGGGGTCAAACCCACAACCTTGGCATATTGGGACAATGCTCTAACCAATTGAGCCACCTGGCCAAGAGCCCCCAAGTATTGATTTTGATTAAAATACACACATATGACTCAAGTTTTTTGTTTTGTTTTTGTATCTGAGCTAGTTGTAGCAGTTACTGTATTACAAATAAACGAACCTATCCCTGTGTAGAAAACTGAATATTTATAAAAGACAGTTTGTTTTTATGTCACGGATCCCAAGCCTTCCAAAACAAAAGTGAACGTATTAACTTTTACTTTGGCTTTATCAACGTTTAGAAGTCTCATTTATGAAAGAAACCAAGTGCTATAAGTAAAACCTGGAAGGAAGAGAAAATTAAGAAATCAACACATCTTTACTTTTGTATTATTTTTTTCTTTTTTATTATTTTAATTCCATGAGTAAAAGAGGTAGGTACTGCAGATTAAAATTGAGAAGATAATGCTCTGCTTCAACAGCTCCCTGTCCCACTGGGAGAAATGAGGACAGACCATTCGCAAAGAGGGCACACCCCTCAGGAGCCACCGCGGGCCCCCACAGCACCTTGCTCACAGAAGTGACTAATATTACTTGGTTAACTAGTGAAGAGATGCATAAAATCTGTCATTTCAAATGTATTTTTGCTTAGGCTGAAGCCAAACATTTAATTTTTAAGATGACTCCATGTAAACAGAAAGCAGATATAAATAGAGCAGATGTATGTGAATAGAATAAAAAGTGAGGCTGACATTCTAGAAACAAAGATCAAATTCAGGATGAACCAGGTGGAAGGAGAGAATTATTCCAGACAGTGAGTTCAGGCAGAGGAAAAGCATGAGCCCAAGCAAGGAGGCAAGATCATCGATAACTGCAGGAAGTTCCAAAAGGTCAGTGCTGCTGTTGGGTCAAGCTCAAGGTAAGTCATGGTAGAGATGAGAGTGTCAGTCACACACACCAGGTCTGCCAGGTCTAACAGCATGAATTCATCTTGTAGGGGAGAAGGACCCACCAAAAGGACATGGCCATGCTTGTCTTTTAGAAGTATCCCTCCCATGGGTGACTGGGGGGCAGATACTGTGGGTGGGGAATAGACTGGAGGCAGGGAATATAAGCAGAAAAATGACCTTAGGTTTGGAGAAAATCATACAGAAGAAATATTCAGGTGTTAAAAAAAATCATCAGGTTTTGGTGAGTGTCTGCATAGGAGTGATGAGATAGTGAATGAGAATTTAGTGGCTTTGAGCTTGGGTGATCAGTAGACTACAGTACCAAACAAGAGGAACTCACAGTCAAGGGGAAGTTTTGAGGGGTTTTCTTTTGTTTGATAATGATAATAAGCATGATTGACAATGAGCATGCTACCCCAATACAAAGGGAAAGAAACTGACAAAACAAGTGAAGGTAATGATATAGGTCCAAAGTTGGATGACTTCTAAGTAAACAGAACACAGGAAAGCCGGGCCCGTCCCCCTGAGAGACAACCTATGATTGCATCAATCCAGAGTGCCACGTAAGAATACAGAGTCCTGGCAACAATCCGTTAAATAAAAAATAATCCAGAAACTGGGGTCAAACAGGGTGCTCTCTCCCCTTCCCTTCCACTCTCTCTAAAAATCAATGGGAAAACTTAAGGGAGGTGGGAGTAACCTGAAGACAGATGAAGAGACCTAACAGCACCAATTCAATGGGTATGTCAGAATCAGAGCCAGACTAGACCAGGCACTAAGTAAACAGCCTGAGGTCCTTATGATCTTTCTTCTGATTTGGTTATTACCTTAGCCTTGGTTGATCAAGACGCTCAGGTGGCCCTGGCCAGTTCGGCTCAGTGGATGGAGTGTCGGCCATCAGACTAAAGGGTCCTGGGTTCAATTCTCATCAAGCACAATGTACCTCGGTTGCAGGCTTGATCCCCAGCCCTGGTTGGGAAGTATACAGGAAGCAACCAATCAATGTGTCTCTCTCACATCAATGTTTCTCTCTCTCTGTCTCTCCCCTCCCTTCCACTCTCTCTAAAAATCAATGGAAAAATATCCTCGGGTGAGGATTAACAAAAAAAAAATGCTCAGGTAAACACATACTTACACAGCCTCCCCACTTCTTTCCCTGATACTGAAATGGGAAATGCTCTGCCTGGTCTGTTTTACTCTCAAATATTTTTCGGTTTTCCAACAAATTTTAAGTAGTTAGTTGAAGCCATGTGAATTACAACTTGAAAAAACTTCCCAATAAATATAGAAGCTATTCTTACAACAGCTTCACAGGAAGAGGTCAGAGCTAGGCATGGGAAAGACAGAGCCTCATCAGGCTGCAGCTCTCACTTGGGGGTCGCCCTCTCCTCTCCCCCTGCACCCAGTTTAATCCCAGTTACTGCTGGCTCAGACCTCGATAATTTGTAATTTGTAACCCTAAGCACAAATCAGATCCAACTTATACAAGCACATCGTACATCTGGGCTCCAAAAAGGACTGGACATCTGTAGTACTTGACATTCAAACCATTGGCAGGAAGTCAGCATTTCATAGAGCACTTTAAATGTTTTGGTTTGAGAGCTAATGCAGCATTTCCACTGGTCAACATGAGCAGCCCAGGCAGAGAGCAAAGTATATTTCCCTCAACATCAGATGTCACAGTCGCTGACCCAATCTTGTCTACAGAGACCCTAAGGGACTTGAAAAATTGGTAAGTAAGGAAAGTCCAACCATTGTTGAGTATATTTAAAGACCATTGTGATTTCAATGTAAAATGGCTTTTTGTGCTTTTAATATCCCCCAAATTTTTTAATGGATGGGATGACAAGTGACAGATTTACCAGTGAGATTAGACTTTTCCAGGTTCAAAGACTAACTTAACTTTCCCTGTAAATGTTCTTTTTAATTTCAAGAAGCAGGCTTTTCTTCAATGGGCTCATGCATTAGGCTGTAGAAATTCCTACTTTAAAAAAATTGTAAACTCATTGTTTGTAAAATATAAGGCAATGCTGTGTGTATGGGGATAGTGAGTTAAAATCAGTTTGGGATGTGATAAAGAGCACCAGTACAGCTGGGGCATGACGTAACCCTCAGGGCTAAGGGAGTCCAATGAAAAACTAAAATGCTCAGGAAAAAAAAAAAAGAAAACCAGAATGTTTGGTTTAAGAGCACAAAAGGCCACAATCTCACTAAAAACTGAAACCAAAGGTGAAATGCTTCACGCAAGGAAGCATTTAAAGTCTTCTCTGAACCGCTAAACGCCTGGGCCACTGCTGTGGATCTAATGGTGAGTCACTGCTTTTCAAGGTAAAGAAACAGGAATTAAATATGCCTCATAGTTGCTGTTTTAGCTCCTGTTACTGTCTTAGGTTTTGATTTCCACGTTCTTGATTCTTAACTTCTGATTTCTTCCTCTGCGATTTCACAAACATTTAAAAATCAAGCATGGATAGCTTTTTAGCTTTAATTTGTGGATGGCAAGGACAAAGAACATAATTTGTGGAACTTGTTCTATGTTCGTTTTTCTAGAAACTGAATAGTAAATTCCATAAAATCTAGACTAATAGCTTATTTAAACACTTAATTTGTGATTAGAATCCACTCCAGTTTATTTTCCAGACAAAATAATTTTTAAAGAACCTCATTTTCCAGAGAAATTATAAGAACACTGCCAGGGAAGCAAGATTCCAGAGGACAATTAACCAACTGCAAGCACCTCACTCTCTGCCATGAAAATTATTTTTAAAACCATTCAATTTAGTATTTTTTAAAAGCTGTGACATTTTAACAAATGACTTTAAGTGGAGAAACTGCAACCTCCTAAGTCGTCTAACTCATTTTATACCTACAATTGTTCTTGCCAGCATTCCCCACTTAAAGAAAGCATTCACAGGAGAAAATCTCTCTCTACACAGACACACAGACATTCAAATATAGACACAGATCTCCCACTTACTGTAATTAAAATAAATCGACTAGCATTTTCAACTTGTATCTCCACATCAGTACCACCAATTCTAGGGAAAGACCCTTTATCACATTCTTCAACACATTTCACTGGTTGCGAGAGATTACCATATGTCATCAAGACATTCTGAGAAAAACTCCAGAGTAAAGTTTATTTTGGAAAATATAACAAAGATCTAGGCATACTTTCCCCAATATACCTTTTGGAACAATTATATAGATTTTTTTAACCACTGATGTATAATTTTACTTATAACTATTAAATGTATTAGCATTAACCCTATAAAACTGCCATTTTTTTCGATAAAAAAGTCAATTAATCAGCAATTTCATGTGACTCAACACAATAACAGAGAGTCAGTCTCAAAAGGCAGTCCCAGAAGTCAAGGGGTCAGAACACCGATAATGATAATTTACATAATTTTACATGATCGTGAGATGCAGACTTCTAATTGTCCCCATAGGCATAGCCCCCTGCTTTTAAAGGCTTTGCACAAATACTAATATCAAAATTGGGGGTTTCCAGCGCCAAATTACATTGGGAAAGACCTTCTATTACTGGCTTTACTTTACAGATTAAGAAATGAGGGTCCAGAGAGGTTTAGTGACTTGAACAAGACAACACAGCTAATAAGGACAAGGATGGTATTTGGGGAAACGTCATCTGGCTTCAAGTCTAATGCCCTTTCACCGAACCCATGTTTCCTCTGACCTAAGGAGATGAATATGCCCAATAAAAACTGTGATTTATACATAAACACAAGTTAGAGATGCAAGAGTACCCAAGACTGCTCTGTCCCTTAGCTAGCTGTTTTCACAACAATGGCAATGATCACACTGTATAAGAGACTCAATGTTACTGGGACTCAGACTTTTAGAGGCAATCTCGTGGAAAAAGCAGGTACTTTACAGATAAACAGCTGAACTGTGACACTGAGCTACTTTTTGTTATTGTTTTTTAGCTCTTTGGCCTGTTTGATCTTCTCCTGTCCCATCCTATCTAATAATAGACAAACATGGTAATTGACCGTACCTTCGCTACGCCTCCCATTGGCTAATCAGCGAGATATGCAAATTAACCGCCAACAATGGTGGCGGTTAATTTGCATACGTAGGCACAAAGCAGCAGAGCAAAGACTGAAGGCGGCTCCGGCCAGAGCAGCGAAGACTGAAGGCGGCTCCGGCCGGAGCAAAGGCCTGGGTCCCGGGTGCCGGAGGAAAACTGGTGCCGGCAGCCAGGGGAAGGGAAGGCCTATTGCACGAATCTTTTCGTGCAACAGGCCTCTAATCATCTATAAAACATCATGATAAAGCTATCACCCACAAAGAGCTACAAAGATACCAACTGAGTCATGCTAGTACCAAGAACATAGCAGCTATTTAATTAAAAATGGAATTCCTTCCCCCATTCTTGCTAAGAACTTATTCATTAGAAGTAGTACTAGCAATGGTAAAATTCCACAAAAAAATGTTTGAGTTAGAATCTGGCACTCGTGGAGCCAAAAAAGAAATCACAAAATAAGGGGAAATGAATACTTCTCCTAATTTACCCTGCTGTCACTCCAACAGGAAACTGGGCATCATGAGCACATAAGTGCTGAGTATCTATCAACACATGCCCTGAGAGCCTACTAACATAAGTGGCCAACACTGGAAACTGGCAGGCCAGTCCTTCATGGCGAGACAGTGGGTCTGGGGTGAGGGGGGCGGCAGACCTGAGTCCGGCTCGTGAGCCCCATACATGGTGGTTCCCTGCAGAAAGAGGTCCAGAAAGACAATCAGGCGATTTGCTTCATTCACATGTTTGGTGAATAGATGGAAAACCAGACAACCTTACAAAAAAAAAAAAAAAAAACCTCAAGAAAAATTTAAATGAAAGGTATCTGAGTTGGAAGTTTCACATTAAAAAAAAAAAAAATAATTCCTCTTCACAAAAGTCTTGAGTCCCATTTTGTTATATACAGAAAAATAAGCAAATTAACCCCCCAAAAACTCTTATAGTAAAATATACTTTCACCAGGAATTCTCAAACTTTTGTTCTCAAGATCCCTTTTCTACTACTGAGGAGCCCAAAGATCTTTTGTGGTGTAAGTTATACTAGCAATACTTATTATATTAGAAATTACAATTGAAAAATTTATAAATATGTATTTTGAATTCACTTAAATGATAGCATCAAATTTTAACACAAATAGCACATTTTTATGAAAAATCACCTATTTCAAAAAAAGGTTTTAGTTGCAAAAGTGGTTTTATTCTATACTTTTGCATATCTCTGTAACATCTGACCTTAGAATATCATATCTACTTCTACATTCAACATTAAAATATAGGTTCAGTTACAGTACAATGAAAAAAATCAAATCTCACATCCTATCTAATAATAGACAAACATGGTAATTGACCGTACCTTCGCTATGCCTCCCATTGGCTAATCAGCATGATATGCAAATTAACCGCCAACAAAGACGGTGGCTAATTTGCATACTGCAGGCAGGGCGGGTCAGTGCCATCCCACCTGCCCTGCCGCCATCTGGGCCTGCTATCTGCGACCCGGAGCGACAGGCGTCCTGTGTGCAAACCAACCCGGGGCGCCGGGTGGGGCAGCAGCGATCGGCCGGCCCGCCCGGGCATCCCGTGTACAACCCGACCCAGGGCGGCGGGGCAGGACAGCGTGGCTCCTCTGTCACCCCAGCTTCCTCATCACAGCTCCCTTGGGGGCCTAAGCCTTTAGTCGGACATCCCCCAAGGGGTCATGGACTGCAAATGGGCACAGGCCGGGCTGAGGGACCCCCCTCCACTGAGAGCACAAATTTTTGTGCACCAGGCCTCTAGTAGATACATAATAGGAAAAGGAAGCAGTGTTTTATTTAACAGCCTTTGGATTTTCTTCTTTGGTACCACACCAAAACTCAACAGTGGCAGTTTTTTAAAGATTGGTTCCCATGTGGAATCTAAACCTATATCAATGAATGTTTGCGTTACATTAAAAACCCTTAGTCTAACTTTGTCTTTGAATGACTCTTTCACCCATGCTAGATTTTATAACATCATATAATCAGTCATTGGGCACTTAGAGGTGTGCATTCATGCAGAATTTTTCATTATATAGTATCAAAAATTGCATTAATGTTGGCACTGATCTCAATCTAAGTGTTAAAAAGTACTGCTAATTGTTTTCCTTGATGTGAAGGCTAAGTTTATTCATTCTTGAGAAGATATCTTCCAAATAGCCAAGTCTGAATTACTATTGTTTGCATGTCATTCTTTTAAGTAAAAACGGTGCTCCAAAAAAAAGGCATCTAATTCAGCTAAACACCCACTTGATGCTGTACCTCTAGTCAACCATCACATGTGGCAGAGGCGCTCATGAACAATTCCTATTTTGTCACAAAAATTTATTTACGTATTTATTTATTTACATTTTCTTTTTTATTGAATTTACTAGAGGCCCAGTGCACAAAAATTTGTGCACTCGGGGGTGGGGGGATCCCCCAGCCTGGCCTGTGCCCTCTCGCAGTCTGGGACCCCTCAGGGGATGACCACCTGCTGGCTTAGGCCCGCTCCCCGGGGGATCGGGCCTAAGATGTCAATCAGACACCCCTCTGGCAGCCCAGCCCTCGGGGGATATCCACTTGCCAGCGGGGAGCAGGCCTAAGCTGCAGTCGGACATCCTTAGCGCTGCTGAGGAGGCAGGAGAGACTCCCACTACCGCTGTACTGGCAGCTATCAGCCTGGCTTGTG